TTTTAGGGTACCTGGTCTCTTTGCCCTTTGGGACCTTGGGAGCTACCCCAAGGCCCCGAATGTTGCGTTTCAGGTGCGAAACCCCATTTCGATAACAACACTTGCGGCATCTTGCGACCCAAAATTCACTTGCTTAAGTTCTTGGACTGGACCCATCGTGTACATAACTTGAAAGTTTATCAAAAACCTTCCTCCTACCTACAGCTTGGACACATTCCCAAAAATCTCATATTACCCTCTCCGGTAAACGCATATCACGGCTTATCAGAGCGATTGCATCCCAGCAAGCCCATAAATGAAAACGGTTTTGGGGGGGCACAGACTGACACAGGGGCGTGCGCATTGGACAAGGGTCACGCTACCATTTCTCAAGCTGTTGTTGAGACACCCCTACTGCTCACGGTTTGATCACCCAATCATGTAGACTTTTCCAACCCTGAGACTTTGGCTAACAACAGGGTAGTCGGCTCTTCAAGTCGGGTTTAGGTCTAGATCCGCTTTACTTCCCGAAGCCGCCAGTTAGGCTTGCAAACAGCGGAGAGGTTTTGAGAGTTGAAGGAAGCATGGACGCTTCTCGAGGACCGCCAGTGTATGCAAGGAAAGCTGAAAAGGCCGCGAGCACGTCCGCTTTGCGGCTTGTGGCTGTTCTTCCATCTAAGGGGTGGGCACGACGGATGCTTACCTTACGTCTGAAACCTTCGGCATACTGTAGCCACTCTGCCCAGATCCAACATCATAGGCTGCTATGTCAACTTTAACGTGGAAATCCTGTGCTCGAATCCCAAACGTTTTTCCGCTGCCATTTTTGTGGGAGTTTCTCAAACTCATGGCTGCATAAATCCTAGCAGGGTTCTTTTCAAATCTATGGGGAACCCAACAAAATCCCCAGGGTCCCTAACCATTGATTTTTTTGCACAAGAAACTCCCAGATGCTCATTCCAGCTGGCATCCGTGTTGCCGCAAGAAAGCCTCAACCTGGCTCTGGACTTGAGCCGCTTCCTTGGCATGCAGGCAACGCAAGTACAAAGAAAAGGCTCCTGAGGCATGGCGGTTAAGGTCTTGGAAGTTTTCATGAAAGAGTAGAAAGACCGCTTACATACCCCCAAATACTATTATCCTCATCCTTAGTTTCCCCCCCATTGGGCTTAAAGATTTGAAGGTCTCAGGGCTGATGAACGAAGAGCTTCCATCGCACATAACAGGAGCGGAGTCCGATGCAAGGAACTGCGAACAGTCTAGGAACAAATTGCAGCCTCAAATGGGATAGGTTCAACAGTTGATTCTAAGTTTGAAGCTTGCAACTCAGCAGGTGCCTTAGCAGTCGCACAGCCGTGTGAGGTTTTCAGAAGCCGAAGCAAAATCAACTCTCCGCAATCCACATCCGTCCATACGGCTCTTAAAGGTGATTCCGGGCCATGCAGAAGACCCAGATCTTGATTCCAAGAACTTTCAAAGCGAGCCATGAGTCGCAGTCACGGCTCGCAACAGCTACTCAAGACTAAAGGCAGAAAAATTGCAAGGTAAATGTAACAAGGACGCAGGTGCTCATTGCTAGGACCTTAGTTATATAGGCCTTTTGGCACAAAGCAGGTGGCCGAATTTGACATTTTCTTAAAAAACGTACAATTCGGTCCCCAGGACAGGGGCGGAGGCACTTGTCGAGCAATGTCGCAAGTTATTCCGAACGGTGCGAACCTTGCTGGAAGTTGGCGGGTTTCGGGGGTTTGGTGGGTTTGGGCTTGCGTTTTTTTATCGTCGCCGTTTTTCGCGTTTGTTTTCGGAGGGGCTCGCAGGTCACTCGGAAACCTGCTGGCGGCTGGGGTTTGGGAGTGCTTTTGGAAGGTTATGGAGCAGGTTTTTCAGGTTTCCGAGGAGTATTTGTGGAGGGTTTCTGGAAGGTTCTGGGAAGGTTTTCTGAGGGTCGGGGAGCCCTGGCAGATGCGTGTTTTTTGGCATTTTGCAATGTAAAAGGCAGCAAAACCAACGCTAAAAAAAGGCAACCAAAAACGCAAAGAAAAATGCAAAAGCAAGGCCAACAAAAACACAATTAGCATGCAGGACTTGATTCAAAGCTGGAGAGAAAGGCAAGAAAAGGGTAATCGAAAACGCGCGAAAAAGCTTGGAAGGGCAAAAGGGGTATTGGTCGGGAGGCCTGGGAGGCCTTGGAAGGTCTTGGGCTGCGGAGTCGGGGACAACACCCATACCAGGGCGGCGATCTTCGGAACTTGAGAGGCCCTGGAAAGAAGACTGGGGACAGTCGGAGGACGGGAAGCAGGAAGCGGGGAAACGTGCACATGCGTAAATATTATCCACTGTTACTGAGTGGGAGCAGCCCTTTAACGTGAGAACGATCTGACTGGTGGGGTGCCATTTTTCGGATTTTTCTCGAGTTTCCTCATCAAGTGGCCAACCAGTACCTACCTCTTCCTCTGCGCCTGCCTATGGATCTTATGGCTTGGAACCCTAGGTTTCCAAATCGCCAACATGCCATCAGCAATTCTGACTCCCAACGTTCGCACCTCCCCGGGCCGGTACATATTGCGGCTACCGCTTTCGCCGCACTTCGTTGCCACTGGCCGCCGGGCCCGCGACGCATCTAGAAGATCTCAGCAAGTTGCAGTCACACGTCGAGAAGAGTGATGGTAAGGAATGTGAACGCGGGAGGAGGAAGGCATGTGTGTGCAAAAAAAAGAGAGTTGGAGGCAAGGAGTGAGTGAGGAAGCTGCGAGTTACAGGAGCAGGATCGGAGAGTGGGAATAAGTGGATAATGCAGAGATGGCGCGGTTGGCTGAGAATCCCATTCTTCCGGCGGAGCACCAACGTCCTGACTGAGGACCGTTTTTCTTTTTTACTTGGACGCGTGAATAGAGTTTGCGCGGCTGAGTTGGTAGCTTCCTCTCTCATTGCCGTTCCTGAACATGGCTCGCCCAAGCGCTGAACTGCCGGAATGAGCTGGACGGCCTGCTCTTCGAGTCGGCGCTGGCGTCGGTCCTGGCACATCATTGTGTTTTTTGTTGTCTCTTTGCTGATGCGCTATTGGACGATGACATCGTGCCTGCTGAATGGCGTCTTGGGCAAGAGGATGCTCAGCAAGCTGACAGACTGGGTTCCTGAATGCCCGATGCCGACTCGCAGTTTCGGTGTCGCCCAGGTCGGCTCCCCACCAATCCTCGACTGTCTTCATCCCAATTATCGCCAACACATCACATTGAGAGGTCCCGCGTGGCCGTGTAGCGTCTGCACACGCTCTGCCTTGCATCGAGGCGGAGCTGTACGTCGAACACTACTAGGATGCGACTGGGAGTCGGCGCAGCTTGCCCCCGCTGCGTCGCCCTTAGCTTCTGCAATCTTTGCAGATACCGCGAGTCGACAAATCCTCCTGGCAAAGCACGGATGGACGCACTCTGTGTGGCAATGATGCGCTCGCCTTGCTGGTTCAGCCGGCGGTTTTGCATGTCTCGACTCGTCGGTACGGCGTTGCCCTCAAGTACCCGTGGCTCGCTGTCTGCAACGTGCAGACTCTCGACATGACATGGCTGCGGTCGCTGCACTCGGCCGATGTGATCACCTACGTGGGCATTTGCGTTTGTGCAGAGACACGTTCTCCATTGTCCTCCGAGCGATTGGGGTCGTGGTGCGAGAGTCGGACGCTGGAAGGTACTGTCGTTGTTTGAGCCATATGCGAGGATGGATTGATGAACCAACAAACTACAGGAGCTTGAGAGGAACTATGTATTCGGTACAACACAGGCAGGAAAAAACTTGGTAAGTTGCCCGTGTTGGTACTGGGCTGGACTACACTAGAAGGATAGTGGAATGGAAAATACCAATAGAGGATTCCGGAGCAGGGGATAGCTGCAAGGGACAGGCACTGGTAGAGAAATTCGGAATAGACGATACCAGTACAAGCACAAGATACCATCTCGGAAGTCTTAAACAAATCCTCTATACACCCCACGCAACCTTGTATGGTCACTGCTGCTACATACAGTTTACAGAAATTGCCGCTAAGTGCCTGGAGTGGGAACCGCTAAAAAATGATCCCTCATCTTGGGAACCTCCCTGGGTCGTAGAAAAATAAAAAAAATATGCGGCATCTTGCAATCCGCTGAAACCCGTAGTCGTTCCGTCTGGACGTCTTCCCGCAACGAGATGGTAGATTTGTTGTGCGAAAAGTTATAAGTATCCCAAATTACAGTACGTAGGGGTGATGAGAACCCCAGGAAACGCATGCACGTTGGGAGGAGTTGTCTGTAAAACAGTTCTCCTACTGGAATCCCTCCCACATGGACGGCCTTTAAGACCTATGTTTCAAGGCTGAACTGCCAATTTACGCCTTTCGGAGACCTGGTTCATACGAAGGGCCCTTGGGGTTAGATGAGATGACCCTTGAGGTCATGAGGGGCACTTGGGGTCCATACTGCTAGTTTGATACAAGACCCTTGGGGTTCCGTACTTTCAGTTGAGATTTCTTCGTATTGCAAATCACTTGGGATCCACTTCGATAACACAGTCTTGAGCTTATACTTTAGCTCGTTTTTTTTGGCAGCCGAGCGTGAACTGTATTCTGGTTTGGGCATGTATGCTGTGGTCGTAGAGCTCACCAGAAGACGAACGCAATTATGGTTGGGGCATGGATGCTCTGGTCATCGTCGCAATGGGCCAATGCGGCAGGCCGAGGGTCGCCTGAGCGCAGGTCGTCCAATGCAGGTGGGGGCCCTTGGCCGCTGAAAAACGTTGAGAGGCCAGGCAAGTATTGGCTTCCAAGGCCACAATCTACTGCAAACCGCAACACGCACAGCACCCTCTGGAGTAATCTTCAACTCTGCACGTGTTGCTCAAGGGACCATATACCCTATCATGTTAGCCAAAAACATGGCCCCAACCTGCCCTTCAGCACCAGTACCCGAACCCCTACCCTAAACCCTAGACCCCCTAAATCCCAAATCCTAAACCCTAAACCCCCTAAACTCTAAACCTGTCTTGGCCAAGCCAGCGGCTAATCCTTCGAGGCCTCCTTGGATGACAGGCTGCGCGAGGGGCTCCGCGGCTGTGCCCAAGTACCTTAGGGCTTAGGGTTTTTTTGGGCTTAGGGTTTAGGGATTAGGGTTTGGGGCTTAGATGCAAAGTCCCAAAAATTGTCAACATGCTTTTAAGGTTTAATATGTGATCTCGGGAAAGAAGGGAGAAGTTAGACGCGGATGTTGGCACCTATATGGCATTGCCGTGTGCGTTATGTACTGCTTGTTCATGAATGCAGAAACTTATCCAGCTACCATTTCCTTTGCCGTTTGATGCCCCATTATTGAGATACATAATACATCCCTTCATAACCCGCTAGCTTTACAGAAGCACCATGTGGGTTTTACCCATCCCTGCGGCTTCGTAGTGGTAGCCCGGTCAGGAACACAGATTCCAGACTTCATAGGCTCTGCAAAGCAGGATTAGGGTTTAGGCTTTAGGGTTCAGGGCATCGTCTAGATTCCTCAGAGAGACGACAAACCGTTCAGAAGACGATGCACATGTTCTTGAAGCACATATTAACCAAAAAGGACCAGTCAACGTACCAAAACCCTCGATCGCACCCTTGGCCTAGAATTCCTTCCTTCTATCCGAAATCTCGTATCCAATGAAAACGTGGAGGCCCAAGCCCAAACCCATCTAAATGAGCTCTGAATCAGGGCCCTACCCGCCAATGCGGTAGAATCCTTCTCATTAGCCTCATGGCACATACTCTGTGGCACCTGATGGATCCCTAAACCTAAAACCCTCATTACAAGCCTATCCCAAAAGCTCCAACTTACGCCCAAACCCGAAGCCCTGAACCCCAGGTACCCCTATCTTACCGCTATCCTAACCCGCCCAAGGTATGTAAACTTCTGGCCCCAAACCCTGCAAAATCGCACAAAAGGCCATTGTTTCACCTATTTTGGGGGCTTTGGTACCCCTAGCCCTAAACCCCTTGATATACCTCAGCCCTAAACCCCACGATGATAGTTTCCATTTTCTTTTCCATTATCCCTATATAACCTCAATATGCCATGATATCCCTAAGCGTCCAAGTCGAAACCCTAAACCCTAAACTCTAAACCCTAAACACGAAATCCTAAACTCTAAACCCTAAACTCTAAGCCCTAAACCCGAAGCTCTAAGCCCTAAATCTTGAACCCTAAACTGAAAACCCTAAGCCTCCCAGTCGAAAGGCGCAAGCGTAGGTACGGCAACCAAACCTTTTGCTTCAGGTCTCTCGCGCCAGCGAGGGTCGGAGCGCAAGGGGTGCGATGCGTCCTGGGGATGTGGCATTAAAGTGGGTTATAGGGGTTATATAGGGGTATATAGGGTTTAGGGTTTAGGGATTTGGCTTCAAACGTTTGGAGGGGTGATATAGGGATATATAGATGTATATCTGGTTTGGGGTGTAGGGTTTCCCAAGCTTAGGGGTACCTTGTCGTGGGATCTCCATAATGAGGATTGTATGATTTTGGGGTTCTCAATTTAAGGGAACTAGTATTTAGGGTTTTTTGATTCTGCTTACCGTGTGGAGTGAAACGGGGGGGATAGGAAGTTGAGAGAAGGGGCAACCGCAGCCTGGTGCATGTCATTTCGCGGAGCTTCCTAAAGGTACTGCAGAGGCCCACTCCCAGTGACGCCCCCTTCCCCATGTTTGCCCTGAGGGCTGGTTATACTGCATCCTCATGGCGTCGTAGAGATGTGCTGGAGGCTTCCCTGGAATGTAGTCTTCCCAGTATCTATCTCAAGCCAGGGGTTTTTCTTGTTTTTGGAATGAAGATGAAAGGAAGCAAGCCAAGTTCTACACCATCCAGGTCGTGAAGCCGTCACCTCAAACCGCTATCTACTGGCATTAAAGGAGGAGGATCAACAGTTAGAGCGGGGTCCACCCAACACCTCTGGAGGGAGCTGGATGCTGGATTGTGCTGCTTTCTGTCTGTTTTTCACAATGGGGTACCCCCTAGATCCATGGTCGAGGTGGATTCTGGGATCCACATTATTGGGACCATATCGGTAGAAATTTGAGCTATAGTCTTAACTCCTAGATTCCCCTACTAACGCCTATAGTAAGTCCCCTATATAAACCCCTTTATAGCCCTCCCTTAAGGAGTTCAGCGCCTAAACCCTAAACCCCCATACAATCCCCTATATAATCCCCTTTAAGGAGTTTAGACTATAGATCATCCCTGAACGTTATATATCCCTATATCCCTATATAACCCTATATAATCCCTAAGGTACCTTATATAATCCCTATATACACCCCTCATTTTGAAAAAGAAGCTGCTGTCCAGCCAGGCGGCCTTCCACTCCTCGCGTGTCTTGCTGACTATGCACCTTGCTGAGGCACATAGGCTGCTGTCTAGGGTTTAGGGTTTAGGGTTTAGACAGGCAAAATGATGTTTTTTTGGCCTTGTTTCGGGGTTTTTGGGCCATAAGTTTACCTACCGTGGGCTTGGTTGGCCTTTGGAGCCCTTCAAAAGTATTAATTTATAGGGACCTCATGAAACCTATATGGGAAAATATCTAAATAATGTCCCCCCCAAATGCCCCGTATTCTATCTGCTTAAGGGGGACTATATCCCAAAGGCCAACCCACCTGAAATTTAAGGCAAGGCTTGCAGGTATTGTTTGGCTGGGAGCCTTTCAGTGGGAGAAGTTGCTTGCGACACGCGAAGGAGCACCCATCATCCTTATCATAGTTAAAAGGGGATTTGGGTTGCCCCAACCCCTGAAACAAGGACCCCATGACCATCCTATGATAACTCATTGGGTGCTTAATTTCGGGGTTGGGGCTACCAAACTCCCAAAATACCACTGCATATGTCCATCCCTGCAATGGTGTGCTCCATGTACCTGAGAACTTGACTCCTGGCCGCCTTCCGAGGGACCTCAATGCCTGCGAGCAACATAAAATGGCATAAAAGACCTTAACCAACTGAACCAGCAATTCTGCTTAGAATTGTAGCCCAGGAGAAACTCATGCCCTGCTACCTCAATCTGTCAGTCGCTGAGTTGCGAGGCCTTCGTTGCTAAGCCCACAACCCTACACACCAATAACTGCGTAGTTCAGAAGCTTGTGGCCTCAAAAGGGAGCCGCCGCGCACCCTCTCAGCGAATAGCGCATCGACAACGGGAAGGGCTGCCATGCAATCCTGAGCTGGGTTGCTGTTAAGGAA